AATATGTATCATGATGATCATGTAAAACATATTTGAAAATAAATCCTAAAGAATTAAAATGTGACTTTGTTTTTTGTACATGCTTCAAACAAATTGACTGTATGTATTAGGACATGATCTGCGGGCTGTTCTGTGACATACATTATCACACAATATCTGCAATTTGCCTATTTTGATGAAATGCCCAGAGTGTAAGATATAAGGCCAAATTATCAGCATCTAAAATATACAAAAAAACGCCAAGGCTAAATTTGACCTTGAGCAAAATATGTACATAATAAACAAAAAAACACTGACAGGTCAGCAAAGGCCCCGCCATGTGCCTGATCACCCTCCCTCCCCTGTCTTATCTTAGTTACAGTAACCTTGACCTTGATCCTGAATTTTTATAAAACCCTTGTGCACTTCTACATATCAAAGTGTTTATCACCATGTCAAATTTCAAAAAGATTAGTTTTTGGATTCTGAAATTTTGGACTGTTATCCCCAACAATGTTTTTTTAGTAACATTGTCTTTGACCTTGATCTTCGTTAATTTTTAAAACCCTATTGCACATCCACATTTCACTGTTTATCACCATGTCAAATTTTAGAAAAAAAAGTCTTTTGGTTTCCGAGATTATCTCCAGAAACAAAACTGCGGACAGACGGAGAGACGAACGGACACCGTGTTTACTATAAGGCACTCACGGCATCTCCAATGTGGGGCCGTTATTAGCCCCCTTCTCCACCCACCCTATGCTCTTGCTGTATGTCACAAACTTACAATCGTTGTATACTATAAATTAGAGTGTATGTGGATCTTTACCATGAACACAAAATATTATAGAGTAAAACTTCTGTTGTGAGTGAATGTAATCTGTCAAGTTAGGAGCGTCTTTCACGATGTTGCAGGTGAGTCCTGATGCTACAGAGATGTTTACTATATGTTACTAGATTCAAGAGACTTGACCATTCTTGCAGTGACTGACTCAAGGAAACCTGTCTTGTAGAGGGCATAGCCATATGTTACGGCATAGCTATATATATAATGGTCCTCTGGAGGGGTGGTGATGCGTGATCCATCAGACATTCATGTTAATTGACCCAGTGAGGTTAAAACGGTGCCACAAAACCTGAGACGATCATCACCGAGCAACCAAACTGCTCAGCAACAGAAGGGACACCACTCTACCAAATATATGGTACTGTCTTGTTTATAATATAATAATAAAAATAATAATATAAAACAAATTATATAGCGCCCTATATAATTTGCAAAATTCCTCTAAAGCGCTTTACAACATATGGATAATAGTATTAGTTATAATTGTTAAACGAAAAAGGCTTACAATCACCATTATACATTAAGCAAGAAGATAATCATCGCAATGTGCACATAAATGAATAAATAAATAAATAAAGGGTGGTATGTACAAGACGTCTGTGCATAGAGCCTAAAATGCAGACGTGAAGAGGTGAGTTTTTATGTCCTTCTTGAATTTGGGCAGGATATTTGACTTTCTAAAAGCAGATGGTAGACATTCCACAACGTTGCCGAAACCCTCCCAAAGCACCAGTTTCCATAGGTCACAGTACGAGATTTTGGGACACACGACAAAGATTCGGACTCAGACCGCAGTGATCTTGCAGCCGATACAGGGTAACAAGCTCCTGTAGGTACTGGGAAGCTGTTCCGTTCAGTGATTGTGCAGCTGATACAGGGTAACAAGCTCCTGTAGGTACTGGGAAGCTGTTTCGTTCAGTGATCGTGACGGCTGATACAGGGTAACAAGCTCCTGTAGGTACTGGGGAGCTGTTCCGTTCAGTGATGGTGCAGCTGATACAGGGAAACAAGCTCCTGTAGGTTCTGGGAAGCTGTTCAGTTCGGTGATCGTGACGGCTGATACAGGTTAACAAGCTCCTGTAAGTACTGGGAAGCTGTCCCGTTCAGTGATCGTGACGGCTGGTACAGGGGAACAAGCTCCTGTAGGTGCTGGGAAGCTGTTCCGTTGAGTGATTGTGCAGCTGATACAGGGTAACAAGCTCCTGTAGGTACTGGGAAGCTGTTCTGTTCAGTGCCTTGTATGACTTGTTTGCTGGGAACACAAACTGAAAAGCTGACAGAATTAACCATATCATTAACATATAGAGGTAATATGTATAGCTGACTACATGTTAAGTGGTTCGAGAATAACATGACATTATTTTCTATTTTTTGGTGGAAGAAAATTCAACAAGTAAAGAGACTGAGGATTTGAACATTTTATTTGCAGTACCAAGAGAAATGTATATAGCAGTACGATCTTCTTCATGTAGAAGATTGGAGGAAAACTGTTCTGAAGTTTTCATGTTAGGAGCAAATAAGAATATCTAGATGTAGGTAAATCACATGAGGTTTTATCTGTGAAAGTCATGAAATATGAATGAATTAAAACCACAGATATCACATAACAATAATCAATGATAAATACACTGCATATGAAAATATGTTGCATCATACAAGTTTGAAACAGAATAATTGCAAAATGAAATCATCATTCAAAATTCATTAATAAATCATTGAACTATATGGACATGCAATTGCTTATGATAAATATGAAAAGACAGATATGAAGAGTGAGCAAAAAGGAAATCAGCAGTGAAATGTCTTTGTAGAATGAAATAATAGGGAAAAAAATAATCTCAGGATAAGATAATATGATTGTGATTATGATGTACAAACATTTTAGTTACCAGTCGAGTCAGTAATTACCTTGACCTATTTTCAATGTCACCGGGTCAAATTATGTAGACTGAATGGGGTAGAGCTGCGAAGTCAATTTGTTCAAATAAATAACAATCTACTTTCAAAATTTGGTAGTAAAATATTTCAAGACCTAGAAACTCTTATCCTTACCAGGAGCCATGCTACTTGGCTGGTTGCTTGCTGAGGTTGAGGACTTTTAAAATGTCTGGTCAAGTAAATTTCTTGAGGCCATATTTGAGGTCACCTCATGAGCATGATACCTGGCCAGCAGCTTGCTGAGATTGAGGGCTTTCATGTTTGTTTTAAGAAGATTCTTTTGTTTTACGGTCTGACATCAATCAAATATGTATAAAATTTCAACAACTTATTCTTAAGAACAATAGTACCTGGTATTCATTTACTGTGTTTATGGCACAAGCTATTTTGTGTTTCAGAATAAAACATCTGGCCAATGTTGCTATAACTAAAACTAGAACCTTGGCTTTGAGGTAGGAGTCTTAAACAAATAATTAAAAAGTTCTTGCATTTTCGACGGAATGCCCTTATTTGGTAATGAAAAAGGGGCATAACGATGCCGAGTAGCGTTAAATGTCACGATTTAAGAACTCATTCAAAGCATTCAGGTAGTGAAACATCCATATTTTTTTTTATAAAAGTCGGAGAACAATTATTTGAGTGATCGTGTAAACAAGCAAAAGTTAACAGCAAAAATAAAGTACAGTGTCACTCTGTCAAGTATGATAGGCCAAAACGTGGAAAGTTGAAACTCGACAGAAAAAACCCATAATATATGTTGAACATTATTGCTTCTAGCATTACCGTACAAAATTTGAAAGGAATTGATTAAAAAAAATAAAAAGTTCTTGCATTTACTACACAATGCTCTTATTTGGCAATAGAAGGGGCATAACTCCACCAAAAATGCACGTAAACTTCTGAAATGCAAACAGGTTCGAACTATATTGGTATGCAATATGTTTACCGAGTTTCATCAAGATATGTTCATGAATGAAGGCAGGAGAGCGATGACGGACGGAGGGACGGACATCAGTCAGTCCACACATGTACAGCCTAGTGTGCTCCATAGAATTTTACATGTTGTAGTTGTCAATCACACCGACTTAGAATGCCATCTGAAAGTTGTGTAATGCTTAACATCACTTTCCCAAATATTGTGCAAAAAAATGATGGAAATCAGGAACCAAAGCATTAGTTCTATTTGTTGTAAGGACACATCTTCTATGTTTCCTGAGCTATTATATTTTTATTCTATTCTAATGTTCATAAATTTTCCTCATTCAGTGTGATTAAACTAACATTGACAACCTAACATGTTGTCATCAGTAAGAATAAGTAAACAGGTACAAGATGTTACAGGGTTTTCTGTTAATTACTATGATTTTCTGATTACCATAATTAGTTTCTGAGTTCTTATAAATACCAGACTCTGAATTGATTAAATTAACTACATGTACTAATTAACATATTCTTATCTAAATGTGCAGGAATAAATATCTGTGATATTTTTAATTTGTAAGTGAATCACCTTGCCTCTATATAAGTACAATTCTTGTCATATTAGTGTTCCACAGACAGTCTGCTGGTATAAACGACTACTATCACAGCATTGAGAGCTCCATCAGCTATATGGCGATAGCGACCTACACAACTTTTACAATGTATATCAAACCTCTAGACACGGCCTAGTCTGTAACCTAGTCATATTGAAACTGCATAGAATTATAACTTGATTGTTCAGCATAAAGACATTTTTTTCATTTTTTATTATAGCAAGTCAATGAAGAGAAATTTACTGTAATGTACACTTTTCTCTCATTTCCCTGTGTGTGTGTAAGATAGAGCTGTCCAGGGTAAGAAAGGGGTGTAGGAAATTTCTATCTAACACCCCATTTCACGTGACGTGACGTCACAATGGCTCAACAATGACGTAATGTCACAAATTTGGAACTCTCCGATATCGCAAAGCGGAAAAGGAGACGTGATGAAATTAAAATCTTTTACAATATATTTACCGTACACGTTAAAAAATATGGATATGCTTAATCTGGCTGGCTGATTCGTTTTCGTCTAAAAAGCTCAGGGGAAAAATTGATATTTTCAAAATGGTGGCCAGTGCAAATGCATTTTCTTGGTTTCTGGGCTAATTCTGGTGGTTGGAATGAAAGAAAAATACTCATTCATTCCTAAGGGTGTAGGATAGGGAAATTCCACCTTCAGTATTTTCAAATTCTGCAAAACCCTCGGCAAAGCCTTGGGTTTTACTAAATTTGAAACTCCTCTGTGTGAATTTCCCTATCCTACACCCCTGGGCATGAAAGTGCCTTATATGATTTGAAAGCCCGGGATGGTGTTCACAATATAATTGATTTGTAGTTCTTGTTTTGACATTTTGTAAAAGTCAAATTCTGTTACATTCTGCAGGTGTGAACCAAGGATCTAGATCTTCCTTACGGAAGAAATGTTGCTTCGGTATTCTACAACAGTGTACTTTTGTCTCCTGTTGTATTGTGTCTACTTGTACCCGATGCTCATTTTCCCCACACCAGAATTTGCAGTGGAGCTCGTACTGGGAAGTGAGATGCTCCAACTGGTGGCGGACAAGGATTTTGTTCAGGGCATCCTCCAGGAATTGCCGCACCTCAACCAGCTCTCCTGGCATAATCTTCTTCTCCTCTGCCGTCTCCACAAACTTGAACATGGTTACCTTGACAACAGAGTTTTTGCAATGTAGTATCATGTGCCAATGTAACCCGACCATGAAGCAGCCAAAGCCCTTCTGTAGCGGTACACTTTCCTGTGTCAGGTGGGTAGCAATCTTGTAATGGCCTATGCAGGCAGCTAACAGCTTGTGGAATATAGTAAATGGCAAAAACTCATAGACTAGACACAATGTTCGAGAAAGGGCTAACATTTCTTCATCCAACACTGATTCCAGCCAATCGAAATTGGTCTCCCTCAAGATAGTAGGCACAATGTAGTACTGGACCTTCTCGTTGACTTGGATGTTGTTGAGTGACTTCGGCCGTGATATCAGGCCCAGGTTTTCCATTAGTGAGAGAAGGAGGGCCTTGTGCTCCCTGAAGGGATCCCCTCGCCACAGGGCATCCACCAGGGGCTGAAGTAGTTCCGCGTTCACATGGTACATCCTCCACATGGTGTCCAGGTTGCTGCTCTCAAACTGGGTGAACTTGCTGTCGGTGATGAGACAACGGAACGCATACACTATCCACTGCGGGTCCAAGACCAATTTACGGTCCATCATGTCTTCTACATCAATTTTGTCTTTGAAAAACAGGACATTTCCAGTCTGGTGTAAATACCTTTGATAAAAGAAAAATTGAGATACAATTCATTTCCACACCTATAAAACTTTTGTACCTGGTCTTCTTAATGAAAGCCATTCATCTATGAAATTGAAATTTATAGTCGAAAGTTTTTAATTCAACATTATTTTACACAGGATTGCACAATTAACCTTTTCTTTATACTACATGTCAGTTTTCAAGGACTGATGAATAGATACAATACAGATATTGCCTAGTTGTCTGTCACTATATCATCCTATAAAGGTCTGTCTCAACGTCATTCCAATGGTTTGTCACATCCAATGTCATTCTAATGGTCTGTCTCTATGTCATTATAATGGTTTGTCTCACCCAATGTCATTCTAATGGTCTGTCTCTTGTCTGTCTCAAAGTCATACTTATGGTCTGTCTCAATGGCATTCTAATGGTCTATCTCAATGTCATTCTTTTTGTTTGTATTACCAAATATCATCCTAAAGGTCTGTCTCCATGTCATCCTAATGGTCTGTCTCCATGTCATTCTAATGGTTTGTCTCACCCAATGTCATTCTAATGGTCTATCTCCATGTCATCCTAATGGTCCGTATCAATGTCATTCTCTTTGTTTGTACTACCCAATATCATCCTAAAGGTCTGTCTCGATGTCATTATAATGGTCTGTCTCCATGTCATCTAATGGTTTATCTCACCTAATGTCATTATAATGGTCTGTCTCCATGTCATCGTAATGGTCTGTCTTAATGTCATTCTAATGGTCTCTCTCACCCAATGTCATTCTAATGGTCTGTCTCCATGTCATTCTAATGGTCTGTCTCCATGTCATCCTAATGGTCTGTCTTCATGTCATTCTATTTGTTTATCTCACCTAATGTCATTATAATCGTCTGTCTCAATGTCATCCTAATTATCTGTCTTCATGTCATTCTAATGGTCTGTCTCACCCAATGTCATTCAAATGGTTTGTCCCAATGTCATTCTAATGGTCTGTCTTCATGCCATTTTAATTGTTTGTCTCACCCAATGTCATTCTAATGGTTTGTCTCAATGTCATCCTAATGGTCCGTCTCAATGTCATTCTCTTTGTTTGTACTACCCAATATCATCCTAAAGGTCTGTCTCGATGTCATTATAATGGTCTGTCTCCATGTCATCCTAATGGTCTGTCTTCATGTCATTCTAATGGTTTGTCTCACCCAATGTCATTCTAATGGTTTGTCTCAATGTCATCCTAATGGTCCGTCTCAATGTCATTCTCTTTGTTTGTACTACCCAATATCATCCTAAAGGTCTGTCTCGATGTCATTATAATGGTCTGTCTCCATGTCATCCTAATGGCCTGTCTTCATGTCATTCTATTTGTTTATCTCACCTAATGTCATTCTAATGGTCTGTCTCAATGTCATCCTAATTATCCGTCTTCATGTCATTCTAATGGTCTGTCTCACCCAATGTCATTCTAATGGTTTGTCCCAATGTCATTCTAATGGTCTGTCTTCATGTCATTCTAATGGTTTGTCTCACCCAATATTATCCTAAAGGTCTGTCTCCATGTCATTCTAATGGTCTGTCTCAATGTCATCCTAATGGTCTGTCTTCATGTCATTCTAATGGTTTGTCTCACCAAATGTCATTCTAATGGTCTGTCTCTTGTCTGTCTCAAAGGCATACTTATGGTCTGTCTCAATGACATTCTCTTTGTTTGTATTACTAAATATCATCCTAAAGGTCTGTCAATGTCATTCTAATGGTCTGTCTCCATGTCATTCTAATGGTTTGTCTCCATGTCATTCTAATGGTCTGTCTCCATGTCATTCTAATGGTTTGTCTCACCCAATGTCATCCTAATGGTCTGTCTTCATGTCATTCTAATGGTTTGTCTCGCCCAATATCATTCTAATGGTCTGTCTCTTGTCTGTCTCAAAGTCATACTTATGGTCTGTCTCAATGTCATTCTCTTTGTTTGTATTACCAAATATCATCCTAATGATCTGTCTCCATGTCATTATAATGGTTTGTCTCCATGTCATTTTAATGGTCTGTCTTCATGTCATTATAATGGTTTGTCTCAATGTCATTTTAATGGTCTGTCTCCATGTCATTCTAATGGTCTGTCTCCTTGTCATTCTAATGGTCTGTCTTCATGGCATTCTAATGGTCTGTCTCCATATCATTTCAATGGTTTGTCTCCATGTCATTGTAATGATCTGTCTCCATGTCATTATAATGGTTTGTCTCCATGTCATTTTAATGGTCTGTCTTCATGTCATTGTAATGGTTTGTCTCAATGTCATTTTAATGGTCTGTCTCCATGTCATTCTAATGGTCTGTCTTCATGGCATTCTTATGGTCTGTCTCCATATCATTTCAATGGTTTGTCTCATCCAATGTCATTATAATGGTCTGTCTCAATATCATCCTAATGGTCTGTCGCCATGTCATTCTAATGGTCTGTCTCTTGTCTGTCTCAAAGTCATACTTATGGTATGTCTCAATGTCATTCTAATGATATGTCTCAATGTCATTCTCTTTGTTTGTATTACCCAACATCATCCTAAAGGTCTGTCTCGATGTCATTATAATGGTTTGTCTCCATGTCATTGTAATGGTCTGTCTTCATGTCATTCTAATATTCTGTCTTCATGTCATTCTAATGGTTTGTCTCACCTAATGTCATCCTAATGGTCTGTCTTCATGTCATTATAATGGTCTGTCTCACCAAATGTTCTTCTAATGGTCTGTCTCTTATCTGTCTTAAAGTCATACTTACGGTCGGTCTCAATGTCATTCTAATGGTCTGTCTTAATGTCATTCTCTTTGTTTGTATTACCCAATATCATCCTAAAGGTTTGTCTCAATGTCATTCTAATGGTTTGTCTCAATGTCATTCTCTTTGTTTGTATTACCCAATATCATCCTGAAGGTTTGTCATTCTAATGGCTTTTTTCTCCCAATGTCATTCTTATGGTTTGCCTTATCCAAAGTTATTTTTAGATAGCCTATACCAGAATCCTTTTTTCCATACGGCATAGAATTTATAACAATGGCAAAAACAATGTTCAATATTAAAAGTAAAATTACTTAGAATAAAACACTTACTCCAGAAAGACTTCTATCTCCCTGACATTTTCAATGGGTGATTCCAACTTCATGTCCAATTCTGTGACCTCTTTGAAGGTCATTATCTTTTGACCTTGACCTTTGAGTTTCATCAGTTCTCTCTCTAGTGACAGCCATTTCGCGGGCAAAGCCCTCTTCCACTGTGACTGAAATGGAGCGGCCTTGATGATGTCCTCCCAGAGGTTATCTAGCCAGGGAAGGTCATGGTTGCTATTGTCTACAGCACAGTAGCCCTGGATGTGGTTCTTAATCTTCTGTAGCTCGGGTGGCTTGAGAAGCCACGTACACATTTCAATGAACTTTGATTTCTTAGTATCTGCATCCTGTCAAATCAAAAGTAAACTTGATGAGCATGTTTTTGAACAAGCCATACAAAATTATCAGGAATATCTAAAAGGAAAATCTTGAGCCTCCATTGCATTACCAAGAGTTATGAGACAGCTTTATCAATTTTCCCGTCCAGCTGATGAATATTGTTTGGCATGACGTGACCAAGAGCTTTGGCCCCACAACTTCCAGGTAATATATGATGCAACATTTTACAGAGCTACTTAGCTGGGTATGTGGTATTATCTAAAAAAACATTTAGGGTCTGACAGTTATTTTAGGTTTTCTATTTTGAAATATAAAACCATGGATCCTATAAACCAGGTAAAAGTGGAATATTTTTTAAGACAGAAATCTTTTCAAAACAACCTATGTATGATTTCATTTAATCTGTCCATCAAAAATACACCTGTACACCTCCAGCACACATCCTTATGGACGGAGGTATTAGCAAGGTGCCTTAGGACCATTAGTAAAAACCTTATACAGCAGCTCTAGGGCACTATATTAAATTCCATATAATACCAATAATGGTAAATATTATGTACCATTCCTTCCACTTTGTCCATGTGTGTCCCGACTAGGATGATGGGAGGTAATTCAACCTGCTCTGAGGAACTGTTTTGCTTTGAAGACAAGGAACCAATGGAATGTAGCCAAAATCTGGCACGCTCTGAAAAAAACAAAAAATAGTAATGTAGAAAGTCAGTCTTTGTTTATCTGTATCAATTATCTTGCCACATATCTCTCAGTGAAAAAGACCCTCTGGCAGCCTTTGTTTTATATTAATATACTTCATCTTTATAACAGTGTGTCTGATAAGATGATACGTGTCACATGACGGGGCACTTTCACGCTCTCAAGTTTCCCGATCATATTTCCCTTATTTGGAGCCTCTTTAGAAAAATCTGCAAAAGCCACCGAATGGGGGAAGCAGACGACAACATATATAGTTGCAATAACTTGATCATCTCTCCTTTTGTGATATTGTTTTAGGTTTCTTTATATATTTCGCCATAATAAAATATCTATTGCCCTTACCGTAGGGAAACATGATTCTTTGTTTCCCCAAGGTTAATTAAGTTTCACGAGGGACACATGACCTTTGTTTAACAAACAGGAAAGACTGAAATACTATAAAACTGGAAGTTTTGCCTTCATTTCATTTCCTTTAAATGTTTATGAGAGGGCAAATTCAACACAGGACAAAAAGGAAAGTTGCATACTTAGATAGCCTAGTAAATTCGATACTGGCGAACTGTTTAGACGGCCTGTGGGTGAAACGTTGATGAGACAAAAGCATTGCCGTTTACAGTACAATCAATGGGATAAGTTTCTCACCTTGCCAAAACATGTACATCCACCGTTTTGATCTATCTTGTAAACAGCTCTCTTTAGATAACTCTTGCCTAGCACACCTACAGCTGTTTCCCGGGAGTTAATTTCACCTGCAACTGTCTCCTAGCAGTTTAGTACAAATACAAATGTCTACTAGCTGTTTAGCACACTTACCAAACTCTGCGTTCTTCTTGGCCGCATCAGAAAGGCAGTCGTCGACATTGAAACAGACAATGTAGACAGCATCTTTACTTAGGAAGATGTGGTGAGAGTCGTAGAACACCTTCTGGCCTCCGAAGTCCCACACAGACAGGTAAGCCTTCTCTTCACCTTCCTCCCCTTCTGACTTCTGCATCACATCCATCATGTCATTCTTGAAGAAGTTTGTGATCTTGTGCTCTCGTGGTTTGCCTGTATTTTGCCAGGTATGATTGTGTGTGTAGCGATATTTATTGATGTACCCCTCATCACTGGAGTACGACCTATGGTCCTGTAGCTCTGCGTCATCAACGTCATGACGCTTCTTGTTCTCTGAGGTCATACTTGTAGCCTCTGATGACAGGGGTGAGCTATCTAGACTGCCTAAAAAATAAAAATGTTCCCAACCATAAAAACTGGAACTGTTATCAAGAGGGTAGATAACACCCTCTACCTGACCCCAATAAGATATAGGATACCATAATATTTGCTTCCCATAATGCCTTATTCTCCCTACTATAAACAGTTCTGACAAGGATATTTTGAACATATTAATGCAGTACATCTTAGCAAGAATTTAACGAGTTGGCTATGGGAATTAACAGTCAACCGTATGACTTTCATTACAACCATCACCCAATTATTTGAAATTGATGAAGATGACAAAAAGGCTTTCAAAATTTCCATCTTGGATTTCAAATTGACACTTCCTTCAATGGACTGCTTTCTCATGAGATTTTTTTGTAAATCACCCCCACCCCACCCCTCATTTTTCACTGCTTGATAAGACTTCAGTGCAGTCAGTATCCTCATTGACAAATATTTTCCTAAATACAGAAGTTTTACTATATAATAGAACACAACATCATGTTGACGGTGTGGACAATACAAGAGGCCCATAGGGCCTGTATCGCTCACCTGGATATCTAAGCAATCATGGCAAAATATTCTCCAAATGAGATCCAAGGGAATATGCCAGACCCTAAGGCCAATCCTTGTAGCATATATATCTGTATTCGATTTTTCATGCCCAGCAATTTTATGTATGGTTATGGGGTGGGGATCTCAACTGTTTCCAAGCTGTGACTCAGAAACTAGGTCCCTTGGGTTGTGGCCAGACCCTAGGATCAAATCTAATATCGTAACTGCATTCGTCTCTTTATGCCCAGCTTTTGTATATATAGGTTTGCAGTGGGGATCTCAACAATTTTAAAGTTATGGCCCAAGGACTATGTTTCCAAGGGTGGGGCCAGACCCTAGGGCCATCCTGGAAGCAAATGTGCATTCTTCTCTTTATACTCAGCAATTGTATATGTGGTTATATGGTGGGGATCTCAACCATTTCCAAGCAATAAACTTTTTTTGGTCCCACCCCTTAGCCCGGGGGGTCAGCCCCACCATTTGTACAATTTTGAATCCCTGCCTCCCATGAATGCTTCCGACCAAATATGATCGATATCCATGGCATAGTTTTACAGAAGAAGTCGTTTATAGCAATCTAGCCAAATTGCCCCCTTTTGGCCCTGCCCTCAGCCCCCTGGGGGGTCAGCCCCACCATTTGTACAATTTTGAATCCCCACCACCTAGGGATGCTTCCAGTCTAATATGGTTGATATCCATCACTTAGTTCCAGAGAAGAAGTCGCTTTAAAGCAATATAGCCAAATAACCCTTTTTGGCCCCGCCCCTCAGCCCCCTGGGGGGTCAGCCCAACCATTTGTACAATTTTGAATCCCTGCATCCCATGAATGCTTTTGATTAAATATGATTGATATCCAGTGCATAGTTCTACAGAAGAAGTCGTTTGTAGAAATATAGCCAAATTACCCCTTTTTGGCCGCACCCCTCAGCCCCATGGGGGGTCAGCCCAACCATTTGTACAATTTTGAATCTCCACCACCTAGGGATGCTTCCAGTCAAATATGGTTGATATCCATCTCTTAGTTCCAGAGAAGAAGTCGCTTAAAGCAATATAGCCAAATTGCCCCCTTTTTGCCCCGCCCCTCAGCCCCCTGGAGGGTCAGCCCCACCATCTGTACAATTTTGAATCCCCACCACCTAGGGATGCTTCCAGTCAAATTCAGTTATATTCCAATCAGTGGTTAAGAAGAAGAAGTCGTTTAAAGAAATTGTTGACGGACGGACGACGGACGACGGACGACCGACGACGGACGACCGACGACGGTCGGACGGATGACGGACGCCACGGTATGGCATAAGCTCACCTTGGTCCTTTGGACCCAGTGAGCTAATAAAGCCGGATTTCAGAGAAACCCGCTACTTTTTCAAGAAAGACTAGCAGTGTGGGCAAGTATCAAGTGAAGTTTCATGAATTGTTGTGAGCTGCCAGATCACAGCGCTCATTCCTCCCGAGGAGATAGGTGGTCTGAAGTTGTTTTATCCAGTAGCTTTCTTTGGTCTGTCGGTGCTGTTTGTCCCAAGTGACACAGTGGTCGATAGCCACTACTCACATATTCTCCCATTCATGACTTGGGAGGTAAAAATGTCTTGCAACAGGAAGGTCACATCTGTTGCTACTGATACTGATAGAACTACAATGGTGGTTAATTCTGTAGTTCTCGGAGATATTCATTTGCTATATATACCTCGCTTGAGCAACTTTTTTTTATTGCTAAGTATATTTCTCACTTAATATATAAATACATGCAATGCTATACGCTTATGAAAATCATGAACTTATAGATTGATCATTGTAGAAAATTCAAAATTATTCCATTTTTGTCCCATTCATCTGTCCCCTGGAAAGATACCTCCACACCTCGACTAACGTGGCCTTAAAGGACCTTTATTAGATATGAAGTAGAGTGGTTTATTTGATGAGTACGATTTGTACAAAGTTTCACTAAAGTTAGTTATTCACTTAAGGAGGTTAAGTGTTGACAAGAAAATATCTGCTGAAACAGATGGTCAGACAGTCAAATAACCTGATTTCTGTAAAGCCCCCACCTCCACAGTTATAGGTACCTTTCCCATGAGAGTTTTAAGCAACTTTATGTCGTGCATGTTGGAATAAGGTATACCTCAAGAAACTATAAAACATGCTATTTAAAAACACCATGATTTCATGGTGAAAAAGAAAGAGAATTCCCAGAAAGAGCCGTATATTTTAAACAAAAACATGATTAGCCAAATCGAAGTTCTTACCTGGTCCAGAGCTTGGATGACCGAAGCTGCCCAGACTTCCAAGATCTGGTTGGTTAACTGACCCCACTGCCAGATTTTCTCCAGTCATCTCATTTCCATGTTTAAATCCGGCCACAACCTTGGCTAGTCTTAGACAGGCCGCCTCCTCCTGACGGTCAGGAGGGAGGGGCGTTTGCTTTTTGCTCATCATGTTGATAAGGAAGCGGTGAATGTAAATATCAATGCCATTCGTACTCTCCAAGTTTTCCGGAACTATTTTTTTCATGAGGTGATGGCAGAGTGTAGTTTTCCCAACTCCCTCATGTCCAACCACCATCAGTCGGAGATTGGTGAGTAGTTCCTCTCCTTTCTCCAGTGCAGCAAAATACAGGTCGACTTTCTCCTTGGTCATACCTAAGATTTCATCTGGAACCTCTGCAAAATAATATTTCAAACAAATCGTTATATTTGGCATATTTTGAATATAAATTTATACAAAAATATCTATTTTATTCTTCATTTTGTAGAGCAAAATGGGGAATTTATACCATGGATATGGATTTATTTCACAGTTAAATAAAAATGTATATCAGTTCTGGTAATGCACATATATCACATGTAGTGATATTTATTGATGTACCCCTCATCACTGGAGTACGGCCTATGGTCCTGTAGCTCTGCATCATCAACGTCAAGACACCTCTTGTATGTGACACATGTATGTGAGTGAATTTAACATTCAAATTCAAAATCTGTTTCCAAAGGCCTTAGAGCAATACTTTGGCAGAGCCAAAATATATTACATCCACCATACAAATGCCTATGATGGTCATGTGATTGCCATGTGACCTGTCCTGGACATGCTGCTACCTACCTATACGTCGCACGGCACAGTCAGGTTCAACAGTAGAACCTTCAGCCTTGCCATTTTGCTTCACATGGGCCTGTCGTAACTTTCCTTTCAACATGATTCGATATCTGTAAAGACAATTTTATCATATTATGTGCTAGACACCATTGGTCTATCGCTTTGAAAATTAACCAAAAAAATCCTTGACAAATATGCAGAATTTACGGGTTGGTACAGTTGCAAAGAGGAGTGTATGTGACATTTTAATCATGGTTTTCTGGATGTATTGGGCCTTGTCTGGGATGTATTGGGCCTTCTCTGGGATGTATTGTGCCTTCTCTGGGATGTATTGGACCTTCTCTGGGATGTATTGGGCCTTGTCTGGGATGTATTGGGCCTTCTCTGGGATGTATTGTGCCTTCTCTGGAATGTATTGGACCTTTCTGGGATGTATGGGCCTTCTCTGGGATGGATTGGACCTTTCTGGGATGGATGGGCCTTCTCTGGGATGGATTGGACCTTTCTGGGATGGATGGGCCTTCTCTGGGATATATTGGGCCTTCGCTGGGATGTATTGTGCCGTCTCTGGGATGTATTGGCCCTTTCTGGGATGTATGGGCCTTCTCTGGGATATATTGGGCCTTCGCTGGGATGTATTGGGCCTTCTCAGGGATGTATTGTGCCTTCTCTGGGATGTATTGGACCTTTCTGGGATGTATGGGCCTTCTCTGGGATGTATTGGGCCTTCTCTGGGATATATTGGGCCTTCGCTGGGATGTATTGGGCCTTCTCTGGGATGCAGGCTAGGCAGTACTAGTGCACATGCCAGTTCATCTTCCTCTGCCCGGTCTTTTCTTTGCATGACACCCTCAGTGTTAATGATGACTGCCAATGTACATAGACCAGCTGCTACATATTTGTAGCTAATCAAAAGCTTGCACAGACTGCTCAAGCAATCGTAGAAGATCGAAGAAGAGCTTGCCCAGGCTAAAAAAAGGCACATTTTAGGCATGCCTTAAATGTGCCTAAAATGTGCCTAAAATGTACCTATATTGAACAGGTTTTAACCCCTCCTATTCTGTCCTCTTTTTCTTCCTTGCCAAAAATGTACCTAAGGCATGCCTTAGGTACCCCAAAAAGTGTACCTCAAATGTACCTTTTTTTCCCCTGGGTCAGCCCAAATTATTTTGTGCCCACAGCTTGACTTCTGGTAAAAGTTACCTATGCATGTTTCAATTGCAACTGTGAACCCAATTTCATCTTCATAGCTCAAGGCAACAAAACATGACACTGACATCTGACAGAGAGCACTAAAATCTGGATATCAGATCAAAATTCTCTGTCAGACAGAGTAGAAATGGAACCAGAGGAGAAAGAGATGGTGTTGTGTGTGTTTTTGTTTTCTTTTTGTTCTCTCTCTTTTCCTTTTTAATTAAGCAGGGTACTGACATATTTATAAGTTGTATCAAATGTGCATTATGATATCCAAGTATTTTTCTTTTACAAAACACAACTATTGCAAACTATTTTTATGAGAGAGTAACAAGGGATTACTTAAAGAAACCTTATCATTTTGACATGGCATTCCTCAAGGAGCCCTATTTTTTACTATCAATGACAGAGGTGCAAAAAACAATTTACACATGCCTTGCTGATTTTCCTGTACAGCAGTTGCAAAGCAAAATATTTCTTGTCCATTGAAGTGGGCAAAACTATTATCCCACCTTATAAAATAGAAATATTTCTTGTCCATTGAAGTGGGCAAAACTGTTATCCCACCTTATAAAATAGAAATATTTCTTGTCCATTGAAGTGGGCAAAACTATTATCCCACCTTATAAAATAGAAATATTTCTTGTCCATTGAAGTGGGCAAAACTATTATCCCACCTTATAAAATAGAAATATTTCTTGTCCATTGAAGTGGGCAAAACT